CTAACAAAGTGTGCTCCCTGCTGGTGAACCTGGTAATTAGTGTTTGCTTTCTCTAGCACAGGGATCCCCAACCCTCGGTCCGTGGACTAGTATCGGGCCGTGGCATGCCAGCAACCGGTCCGTACAAACAAGCAAAGCCCCATCCCTGGGATGCAGGCAGCACCCAAAACCATGCACCCCCCGGTCCGCCGAAAAATCGCTCTGTGTAACCGGTCCCTGGTGCCCAAAAAGTTGGGGACCTCTGCTCTAGCAGTTTTCCTTAAGCTGGTCTATCTAGATATATTGAATTTCTCCTTGTAGACAGCCCAACCAGCATAATGCAACAGTACAGGTAATCAAGCTACAACAGTGCTGAAGAAGGGGGACCTTGCAACTGGTTCATGGAATTTTAACTAGTGTCCCCATTGTCATGGGATTACAATCCAAATCCTCGGTGCTGGGTTAAGATTATGTCACAGGGAGATGGTCACATGATCACTTTCCAGCATGCCTTGCCAGCTTCCTACAAGCAATGTCTATGGGGAAACTGAAGTTGTTCCAGTTTCTTTTCACCCAGCCATGATACCCCTGTCCCTGTGGACCAGTGCACCTAATCGTGACACCTGCCAGGCTGCTTCCTAAGACACCCGTCTCTTCCCACTTAACAACCCTATGATCCTGGGCTTACAAAAGCAACCGGGATTACAAGATTGCTGTCACTAAGTAATGTGATCATGTGATGCACCGTTTAGTGACAGAAACTCAAGTCACAATTCTTCATCACATTTTTATACCACCCGACTAACCTAAGTTACCTTTTAAAAGTAAGTGAATGTGTGAGGAATGGTTTCTCTTTTGTTTGGGGGTGGGTAGGGACGGATATACCAGCAGAATCAAGCTAGTCATTTTCTCAATAAGATTGGGGGAACCTTCTGGCTCAAAGATTGGAGATTTGCCTATATAGGTAGTTCTTGTTTAGTGACAATTGGGACCTGCAATTTGGTCATTAAGTCAGCGTTGCTTAGTTTGACTTACTTCAGCTTTCCTTTGCTTTACACACCTGTGAAGGTTGTAAATGCAAGGATTGGTTGCAAAGTCTCTTTTTAATCAAGGTCATAACTGTGAAGTGTCACTAAATGAAGCAAGTCACTAAATGAGGAATATCTGCAGTCATAGACATCAAAGAATTTTTAAAAGCATCACTTTTCCCTTGTTCTCATTGTTTTTGACAGTGAGTAAATTATGACTAAACTGAGTTGGCATACATGAGACAGGATTTGTTGGTTTGAAAAACTTTTCCAAACTGTTCACAATAAAAGACACTGTTAACTCTTTCTCTGCATATATTTGCATGCACACAGAGAAAAAGGTATGGAGATATAATAGGATGGAAAGCAGCAGTTTTATACCTAGTTCTGTTTTAGATGGTTCTCTGCTGACTGAATTAAAGCAGACTTGAGAAACCAACATAATAAACACTATGTGTTTATTATGTTCTCCCAAGTCTGCTATAAGACATTGCATGTGTGTCTTATAGTCATTTTGATTAAAGAGGAAAAATCAACTTGAAACTCAGAGTAACCATGATTAAAACCAGAGAGAATAATCAAACGCTTTCCAGCCTCCAAGGGTAAAACAGCTGCAATGATGCTCAGTGGGAAAAAAGTCAATAGTACTGTGTATAAGTTCCAATTCAAGCAACAGATGGAGGGAAAAGACCTTTCTTGCTCAAAACCAGCAGCAGTATACAGTATTTCCAGAAGCTTTTCTCAGTTCTAAAAAAAACCAGGTAAATTATACTGAATCCCTTGCACCAAAAGAAGCCTTCCTTCTTGTCCTCCTAAAGAAATACTGGCTGTTACAGTCCAATAGTGCTCTAGGTCAGTGGTGGCGAACCTATGGCATGTGTGTCAGAGGTGGCACTCAGAGCCCTCTCTGTGGGCACGTGCGCTATTGCCCCAGCCCCACCTCCCCCCGCGGCCCCATCATCATCAGCCAAGCAGCGCACCAGCAGCGCAGCCAAGGACATGGTAGCCAGGCAGCAGGAAAGACTCTGCCCTCGCGCCCCATCGCATGCAGTTGATGCTGCAGGGCGCGGGCGGAGGGTGTGGCCGCCATGGCACTGCTGGGCTGCCTGGGCAATGTGCTGCAGCAAGCCATGGAGGCGGTGGGTGGCCCTGTGGGCAGGGCAGAGCACAGAGTGGGGGTGGAATGAGGGCGAAGTGTTGATGGGGCTGGGGCGGGGCAGGGCTGGGGCGGGGGGGTAGGTTTTGGGCACTCGGTCTCTAGAAGGTTCGCCATCACTGCTCTAGGTATTAACAAAGCATATTCTGTGTTCTACTTTGTCACATATTATCTACATTCACCATTTCAGGTTTGTGCAGCCAAATCAAAAACTGGAAAGCTTTACTTAATTCATTGCTTTTTGTTTTGAAAAACAAATGAGAAACTCATTCTGTGAAGCAACAGCATCCTCTAGTGGCATAACATGGACAGGAGGAAAAGTTTTCCCTTTCAAATCTACTGTAAGTACAATTCTTGGCTATCTAGATAAATGATAGTCAAGTCTAGTTAGTACTGTAGTTGGCTGGAAAACTTTCAGGGAGTACCAGGGCTGTAGATGAGATTGGAAAGCTTAAAAAGCAAAACCAAAACAGAAAACAGCAACGAGAAGTCACTTATGCTTTGTTGCCAACAAAATTATTAACACAGTGATGAAATTATTAAGCTAGAAGCAACATATTATTATAAAATGCTTCTTAAATCTACTCATGATAATGTCTAGGTTTTAATTAGAATTTAATATTAAAGAGGCAGCATCTCACATTGCTTATGCAAAGTCAGTACCTCTGTAATACTAAATATCTATTACATGATATTTGAATTTCAGTAATTTATTTTGAAAGAATATGGAAAGTTTAGTTCTGTTGAATACAAAGCATTATGACTGCATTTCCAGAACTGGTCAGAGTAACCAATGTAGTTGTAGTCTCACTCATCATGATGGTGTATTTGGTTAGTTATGATATGTAAAGTTTATGCAAGTACGTATACCACATTGAGCTGAGTGGCTATTTATAATGTAACATGTTGAGTAGTCCCATTTGTGGCGTTTTTCCCTCCTAAAATATCAAGATTAAGTAAACCAGAAATTAACAAACTATAACCATAGCCAAAACCAGTTATGCTGCTTACATTCTAGAGGGAGGGGAAAAACTGGGCTTAAGTGAACTTAAGGAAGCATGGGAGGAGGTCCTCCTCCTTAAGTTAAGGAAGGACTTGTTTATGTACTCAGAGATTTGAGTCTAGAAGATTTTTCTAGCTTCTAAAGGCCATGGGGCTATATCATAGAAGGAGTTGGCTCCAAAATTTGGTAAGTGGCAATTTTTGTGAAGTACAAAATTACTCCCTTTTCTTAAGAAACAAAAATCTACTCCCCCCTCCCCAGGTCTGACTGTATGAACTAGGGGGAAGACTGCTTTGGGGGTCACCACAAAAGGGCTGATGGAGTATGTGCGGTCTATCCTTTTTGCTCTAAGCTTTCATAATAAGTAGCAATTTAACCAAACTTCTAGTCTGCAGCAAATTTTCCACAGGTGGTCCTCGACCCATGACCATTTATTTAATCACCACTTGGAAGTTACCACAGAGCTGGAAAAAAAAACGATGTATGGCCAGTCCCCATAGTCACATCATCAAAAATTTGGGGTGCTTGACGGCCGTTGCAACATCCTAGGGTCACATGATCTCCATTTACTACCTTCCCAGGTGGCTTCCCATAAACAAAGACGATGGGGGAAGCCAGATTTACTTAACCACCATGGCAAAAGAGGGCCAGAAATCAGGCATGACTCACTCAGCAACTGCCCTGCTTAGCAGCAGGGGTTCCAGTCCCAGTCGTGGTTATACATCTAGGGCAGGGGCAGGCAACCTTGGCTCTTTTATGACTCGTGGACCTCAACTCCCAGAATTCCTGAGCCAGCATGGCTCAGCTTGGAAACCTCTCCCTTTCCCCTCAGGATGGCTGGCTCAGGAATTCTGGGAGTTGAAGTCCATGAGTCATAAAAGAGCCAAGGTTGCCTACCCCTGCTCTAGGGCTACCTGTATATCCTGAATCAGGGTGTCTTTGCAGAACTAAGGGATCTACCGAGTCCTATTTTGATTACGTTACACATTTTTTATAGGAAGATGAATGTGACATTTATGAAAAGAATCTAAATCATTATAGCTAAGAATGGTGAAATTAAACAATTGAACACAAAGAATACTAAGAGTAAGAATAAAAAAAAATTAAGCCCTAAATGATTTACTAACAAAGTCGTTAATATTATATACTTCCAGGTAGCAGTCCAGCAAGCTTTAAAACTACACAGTGTTTAAATAGAGGACTGCAGAAGGCAGATGCCTATAGTTACCAGTAATCAATTTGAACCTATTCAATTTACAATTGTTTGCAGTTCTTTTAAGTTCTTCCCTATTCGCAGAAGGGGGGTGATTTTTTTTTTCCTACTCTCTCCACTCATTCATTATCTCATGGTCTTCAAAAGTTCCTTAAATGGATTTTCTAGTGGAGAAGTCACTATCCTATTTTATATAAATAAAATGTTTCAGGATAGCAGGTGCTGGGAATATGTGTATTTTCTAGAATTGGATGACAATGGAATAAACAAGATTTCCATCTCAACAGATTTCAATCTACTTTCTTATCCAATAGATGGACTGATTTGTGGCTTGTCAGCTAATAGCTATGTCTTCCCTCGATTTTAGCCCTTTAAAAATCCCGTGCCTGTTACATTGAGTTTTATCAAAAGGCATGATAGCAAAGACAGACAAAAATGCACGCTGTTCGTTTCCAAATCAGACATATTTGTCTGCTTCTGCTCCAGGGAATTCTACAGAGGTATTGGGGAATTTTCACTTTCTACATACAACCCAACCTCTCACATAACATGAAATGCTAATTCAGCATTATAATCTTGGAACTGTTTTCTTATTTTAAAATAAGTTCAACAATACAGACATTAGAAGGTACCCATCAGGCTTCCTTTAATGATGATTTTACTGAGGAATGAAGATGCCCAACTGACATTTGCATTTAATCTAGTTCTATTGGCAAATACTTATAGAGCAGCAAACTTTTATAGACAAGCTATCTCTTAAATCTCTTTCTTGTGGAGAATTTACTGGAAATCCCTTTACATTAAACCAGATTACTTCAGTAATAGATACACAAGGAGAAATCTACTGTTGCTTGGCAAAGAAAAGCTTGCTGTCTTTCACATTGGGCTTGATGGTGTCACCGCCAGGTTGCCAGCCAGCTGGGCACACTGCAGCAAGAACAGACAAATATATCGGAATAAAGATTTTTCAAGACAACAAAAGGGATCAAATCTAAGCAAGGCTACCTCTTTATTTCTATTAGCAAGAGATAAATCCAGTTAGTTGAATTAACAACAGAAAGGCACGCAAGCTAGTTCATAACATGGGTTTATATGTGCATGCAGACTATTTAGAACAGTGGTGCTCAACCTGTGGGTCGGGACCCCATTTGGGGTCGAACGACCATTTCATGGGGGTCGCCAAACAATGCAGTCCACCATTTTTTCCCCCTTTTCCTTAGCTGTGCTACTCCCTTTTATTCTATTGGCTTTTGAAAGCCAATAGAATAGACTCTCTTGAATACAATCTAATTCTATTGGCTTTCAAAAGCCAATAGGAATTGTCCAGGCTGTCTCTGCCCTGCTGAGCCCACCAAAAGTCCCATTCTGCAAACGGTGCTGCACCGGTTGAGTAGTCCTCGACTTAACGACCGGTTGAATAGTCCTCGACTTACGACCAGTTGGGGGGTCGCAGCATTAAAAAGGTTGAGAACCACTGATTTAGAATGTCTACAAATGACAACATTCCCCAAAACTCAATATTTTCTGCTGGAATATATTTGCATGAAACAGTGAAGTTGAGCCTTATTTTATCTCTCATCTATCCAAAAAAGTAAAAATGGTTACTTCTGGGGCTTTTTTTTTTTTTTTTTTACCCTCTTGGGGAAGATGGTTTAAGATAGGTATAATGTACACTAGAACACATAATCAGCAACAATCATAAAAGATTTTGGAAATTAGCAATTTGCAATGACAGAAATGGCCGAATAAACTAGGATGACCTCATGCTATCTGGGAATTGTTTGCACTTTGGGCAAACAAAAAAAATCAACCTGTATTCCTGATTCATACAATATTAAGCAAGCTGTGAAGGAAGCAGGATTGCCAGGATATCCAAACACAACTTCATAACATTCTAGCCTACCAAAATATTCTAACTCTTGATATTTGATGTAATCAGTTAAGGCAATTTAGTTAAGCTGTTCTTGTCTCTGAGGGTAAGGATGTATTATATATGTACACTGTTAGACTCCCTGCACTCCACTTCCAGTTTGGATCTAGGACTTCCTATTCTGGCTTCAGAATATGTCTGTCTGTCGGGGAAAGCAAATGCCTTATGCTTCTTTACTGGCTTAATTACCACTAGTTATTTGACTAGAAATTGCTCCTTTTATGAAATGTTTTGGACAATGATCTACAGTCTAGATGTATAATCTAAATTAGAGGACACAACAGGGCAACTAGTTATTTCTCTACACGCAAGCTGGTTCTGCAAGTTGAGATTGTTACATCAGATCAAAGTAATTTCATGTTCATTCTTGAAACTGTCTCCAAGACAAGGCATGAGAAATGGAAAGATACCAAGCTATGTTCCAGTTTGCTCTAGGCAAAAATTATTAAGAGTACTGCTAACTGTATCTCGGAAATTCTACATATATTAAAAAGTTCTACTGAAGAGGTTCACTATTTGGCATGGGTATAAAACATTAATTACTTTCTGAAACAGTGTCAGCAACTATCTGTCTACCTCAGGGGTGTCAAACTCAATGTCACTGAAGGCTGCATCAGCGTTGCGGTTGCCCTCAGGGGGCCAGGTGGGTATGGTCAGAGTGGGTGCAGCCTACTGGGTGGGCATGGAGTGGGTGTGGCTACTGGTGGGCGTGGCCAGTTCTACATCATTCGCGTCAAGGGTGCTTGTGGGGGCCTGGGCAGGAGTGGGACAGATCTGAGGATCTCTGGCAGAAGGGGGTGGGACTGGGGCAAGTGCCAAGGCATGGTCCATCGGGACAAGTGCCAAGATGGCTACCACAAAATTGTACATTGGCTCCTGGCTGGCCTGGACCAGGGCCAAGGCAGCGGGGCCATTCTCTCACTGTTTCCAGGATGGCTTTGCGGGCCACATGAAACCACTTCGTGGGCCGCATCCAGCCCCCAGGCCTTGTGTTTGACATGTCTGACTCTCCCTGGTTACTTAAAGGACCATCTCTCCCTGATCGAGTAGGAGAGGCACGTTCTTGGTATTATCAGCTAAGGAGTGTCAGCTGGTGGGATCCAGAAAGGGAGTCTTTTCTGCAGTGGTGCCTTACTCTTTGGAACACTGTTCCCTCTGAGATTAGATTAGCTCTACCCTTGCTGATCTTCCAAAGCCTTAAAAACTTGATTTAATGCCTGAGCCCGGTGTCCTGGGTGTGTGACAAAGCTCGTCTCCTTGCTATATTAGTGGGTTTTTTTTATGATACTTGGATGCTATGTCTTTGATTTTTTTGCAGTATGTATTTAATTTATTTTCAGCCATCTAGAGTCGCTTATGTGAGGTGGATGCTACATAAATCTAATAAATAAAATCATTCCACCCATCCACACATAAATATATAAAAATGGCTGAAGTCTTCATCAAAATCTATGGGAGAACACTGAGATTTGGTAATTTTGCAAAATGTATGCAGTAGCTGGGAAGACTCCTGATCTCTGCTTTACTAAAAGACAACTTCTCATTGTAGCTTTCCCATAATATGGCTGTTGACCATGCTGACTAAGGGATAATAAAAACTGAAGACTAATTCACCTGCAGGAGCTTAGACTGGGGAAGAAAGCTGTATTTAAGGTAAAGCCAAATGTATCTTTCTGCTAAATTGTTTGAAAACTACTACGCAATCCTCAGTCTCACTTAGACCTATCATTGCACCCTAAAGAGAAACTAGGCACAATGAACCAATCTTAAGTTGATCATCTTTTCCAGAGCACTACTGCTTTATTTTTCTATGTCCATTTCATCTATCACTCACCTTCACCATGCTGATCTGTGAATTGGAAGGCTTGAACCAGGCGCAGTGTCTCATCCACAGAACGTCCCACGGGTAGGTCATTCACTGTGATCTGTCGCAGGATGCCTTTATCATCTATTATGAACAGACCTCTGAGGGAGAAAAGGTACAATATTAATTACAAGCATTATCATCTTTTTAAAAGTTACAGGCCACTGGAACCTATTAGAACCATATACTTATCTTTGGCTAAAACATTGGGCCAGGATCAAACATGAACTGTGGTATTTTGAATTTTTGCATATGCAGTCTTCTCAATTTAAATAGTCAAGCTAGAAGAAAAGTTGGGGCAAGGTCAGAGAGATCCAGTAAACTCTATGAACCCAGGCATTCATTTATCTTGTAAAGCCTCCAGGTTCGCGTTTGCTAAGAACTGATTTACTATAGGTTTCCTATATTTACTTGACTAACATATTGTTGTTTGAACAATATGGATTAGTTAGACATAGCTAATAAACAGGGTATATATTAGTCCTATGACATTAGGGCTGGTCACTCTACTTACATCACTAGGGACATATGCTAACTGGGACTATATCAACTAAGCTACCAAGATGTCCATCAGCTACACCACAGGTTTTTCCAAACTCACGTAGAACTAACTTTCCATACCTGTATGCAATGCCATCGTCTTCCTTGAGCACACCATAGTCCTTAGAAATGTTGTGGTTGATGTCTGCCACAAGTGGGATATTTGTCGAACCCAAGCCACCATCCTTTCTTCCTGTATTTGTCCTACAAGAAAATAATATCCATAATGCTACTGTTTTAATGACCTGACACTCATTACATTGAAACCATCTATATTTTAGAAATTATTAAATTAACCAGCAACTTTAAACATAGAAAATATTTTCCTTTTTGGTCCTAAAGACAAAACTTTGGGAAAGCAACTATGTCTGAAAAACGGGTAGACTATTTTTCTCCTCACTAAAAAAATTAGATTTTCCAGAGAGATATTTCATTTATAGTTCACTTTGCAGCCCCAAGAAGTGCATACAGTTCTCTGCACCCATTTCAGGTGTCCAGCATTAATTGTACAACCAGCTAATGAGCCAACTGATAAACCCCAATGAACAACCAGGTTTTGCTAGATAAAATTGGTGGAGACCTCCACACCCATCTGTCAGTTAACATCTGCCTAAGTGCTTCTCAGCACTATAACTACAAACAGTTCTTGTGACTGGCATATCAGTTGTACCTTCTGTCTGACTATGACTGGAATATTTCCAGTTCCTAGAGCAATGAAGCCTGACAAAAAAATCTCCATATATCAGCAAGATCCAGACCAGAGTACACTTCTTAGAAAGCACAATTATTCCTTTCTGTCAATGCCCTATTATTAGCCAGCTTTTAATATGCACCTCTGGAACTAGTTTTCCAGCACAAAAACTTTTATGAATAATTATAAAGTAGGAGTCTCACCAAGCCAAATGGGTAAACTGAGAGTCGACAGAAGCAGCAATAACCTCACAATTAATCTTGCGAAACTCCTCAATTCGATCGTTGAAAGCTATGATCTCAGTGGGACAGACAAAAGTAAAATCCAGTGGGTAGAAGAATAGAACCACATATTTGCCTATATGGAAGAAATGGACATCAGTAAAACAATCACGATCAAGATTCCAAAACCTTTGCACTCCCATAGTCTTTTGGACAGTATCCCTATTCAGATTTATAAATGGAGCAAGACTCGGAGTCACTAGAAGGCGATTGCATCTTACTCCGGTCAAATCAGGACTCTTCTTCCAGTTACAAAGCAAACACGTCATTTATCTATGCATATATTTTTTTAATATATATCCTACCATTATTTTTATAAATAACTCAAGGCAGTGAACCCACACAATACTCCTTTCTCCATTTTTTTTTCACCCTGTGATTTGGACTGAGAGTGACTGGCCCAAAGTCACCCAACCAGCTTTTATTAATGCAATGGCCATGTAGACTGAATATGTTCCTGTACTTCATTCATAGTCGTAGCACCATTAATTTGAATACAGAACTATGAAGTCAGCTACCTCTTCTTTGGCCTTTGGGGGGAAGGGTGTTGCCTTCAAGTCAGTTTTCGACTCCTGGCAACTGCCTTAGACAACTCCCTGCAGTTTTCTTGGCAAGGTTTTTTAGAAGAGCTTTGCTTCCTTCCTGTGGCTGATAGAGTGGCAGGCACAAGGTTACTCAGCTGGCTTTGGGCCTAAGGCAAGACTGGAACCCACAGTTCCCTAGTTTATAGCCTGAGGTTTAACCACTACACCAAATTGACTGGTCATTAGGTTCACTGATAATATATTACGTATCAAACTAAGTATAATGATATATATCTTAAACTACAAATGTATCCTGGATTGGAGAGTTTTCTTGATGTTTATACATAAGAGGCTACCCTTGAAGAGCATTTGGAAGCTTTAACTGGAGTGCGGTAGTGTGGGCAGTCTTTGGGGCCCCTAGAAAAATGACCCATGATACACCACCGTTCCAAGAGCTGCACTGGCTGCCCGTTTATTTCTGGGGTAATTCAAGGTATTAGTTATTATCTATAAAGTCCTGAATGGTATGAATCTAGGTTACTTAAGGAAGCATGTCACTTCTACGGGACAGGCCCACCCCACCCGTGCCAGTAGGGGAGGTATGATGCAGAACCCATCAGTCAATGAATTCAAGTTGGTGGGGTCCAGGAGAAGAATCTTCTCCGCCATGGCTCTTGCCCTTTGGAACATCTTGCTCCCTGAGGTGAGATTGGCTCTTGTCCTCCTGACTTTCCACAAGAATCTTATGACCTGGCTCTGCCAGTTGGCTTGGGGCCCCAATGGGGGAATGTCACACTGGAGGTGGTTGATCGGCTAATAGCAGTTCTCACTTCCCCCCCTCCCACCCCGCTGTATATTCTGCTCCCTTCCTCCCTATCTTTAGTAATGACTTGTATTTTATTGCAATTTTAATGTGATTTTATACATTTATAAATTATTATAATATTGTAAGCCACCCAGAGTCGCCTTGCAATGAGATGGATGGCAAACAAATTTAATAAATAAAATAAGAGAGCATACATATTTGCTCTATAATTACTAAAGATGCCAACATTGCTAAAATGGATTCATAAAACATTCTATATGGAGAATGTATCTTAGCCTTTCCATAAAGTCTAGACACGCTAGAATACTAAGTAATCCAATGGATGCACAATTAAAAACCTAATAGAAGCAGCAGTGCCTTACCTCTGTAGTCTGATAACTTTATATCCTTGATGTTGCCATCCACTACTGCTGTAGCACGAAAATCTGGAACTGGTTTTCCAATATATGCTTTACCAGAGGCCATTTCCTAAAATATCAGAACAATAATGTATGCATTAAGTTTGCAAGTGCGCCACTTCTCAGGAATGATACTGTTTGATTTAGAAGAAGTATTGTCTAATTGCTTTTTGATGATTTAAAAACAGGCAGCGCTATTTTGGCCTCTAACTCTTTCCCCATTTTCTCACCACAACTTTTAAAGTTCTTACCAAATTAGAGCCTATAAACTCAGAGAAAGAACAAAGTCTACCAATCCAGCCTAATGCTATTCAAAGCCCTAGTCACAGGAACTGGTTCAATATAATGGTATTAATAATGCTTTTAAATCCACAGCAAACCCTGAGGCATGCAAAATGAGGCTATTAGGTGTTCTTATTCTTTTAAGGAACAATGTGCTGCATTTCCTAGCTCAGATGGCCTCCTTCAACTTGCTAACTATAGAAAGTATGGTGGAAAGCAAAATATGGTGCAAAGCAAGGCAAGCCATTTATTAAATATTTGTTAGAACATGCTTCAGCTGAAAATACTTTCACTGTTACACAGTAATAATAGTTACACAGTAGCTGATTTAAATAATCCCAGTTTCTACCCAAGCTTTCCAATAAAACGAATTACCAATTTTCAAATTAGAATTTATTAAACTCAAATTATGTCCAATATAATCAAAGATTTCTCACTACTCCTACTATTGCTAATAAAACATTTTCTGCTCTATGTTGTTCTAATCCAGACATGTCAAACACAAGGCCCGGGGGCCAGATGCGGCCCGCGAAGTGGTTTCATGTGACCCATGAAGCCATCCTGGAAACAGTGAGGGAACGGCCCCCGCTGCCTTGGCCCTGGCCCAGGCCAGCCGGGAGCCAATGTACAATTTTGTGGTGGCCATCTTGGCACTTGCCCCAGTCCCACCTCCTTCTGCCAGAGACCCTCAGATCTGTCCCACTCCTGCCCAGGCCCCCACAGGCACCCTTGACGCGAATGATGTAGAACTGGCCACGCCCACCCAGTAGCTACACCCACTCCATCCATGCCCACCCAGTAGGCTGCACCCACTCTGGCCACACCCACCCGCCCCCCCCAGGGCAACCGCAATGTTGATGCGGCCCTCAGTGAAATTGAGTTTGACACCCCTGTTCTAATCACTTGCTGTGATCTCAAAACTAAATCTTTCAATTTTGCCCATAAAAGAAAATAATCCATTATATTTTCATTTCACCAGCGGGTGGCTGATAAATTATTGGTCTAGTGCAGAGGTCCCCAACCTTTTGGGCACCAGGGACCGGTTCCGTGGAGAGAGGTTTTTCCGCAGCCCGAAGGGGACGTGGTTTTGTGTGCTGCCTGCATCTCACAGATGGGGCTTTGTTTGTGTGGACTGGTTGCTGGCATGCTGCGGCTCAGTACTGGTCCACAGACCGGGGGTTGGGAACCCGTGGTCTAGTGGTTCTTTTTCATATCATATAAATTAAGACCACCTTCCTCAAATGATAATCTCACTTTAGCTAAGGAAAATCGTGATGATCCACTTTCCATTTCTTAAATAAATTATCAATATAAATATTTATTAAAACATAGAAATGCCTCTAAGAATATAAATGAAATAAAGGACTATTTTCATAAGGTTAATTTTGATCCACAGGCTTAAAAGAACTTTAAGCTATTTATTAACATCCATTTCAATCTTTGATAAAATTGTCAACATATTTCTACATATTTAGAAATACCTGTGGGTTTATACAGCCTCAAATATGTCACTAGAAATCACAAATCCTATCTCTTTACATAACTATGCATTGGGATCCAGGGGAGCCAAGCGAGATTTATTCCAATTAAATCCAAAATACTTTAAAAAATATTCTACAATCTTTATAAAATTAGGTAAAGAAGTAAAATATTGATCCAAAATTCCTAAAATATCACCAGAGTACAAAAATAATTTATATTCACACTCCCAATTTAATATCCTTAACATCTAAAAATTGCCTTAGAATCAGTGGCCAAAAGTTCGAGAATCAAATCAAATAAGGCAGAAAGTGACCAGCTCTCCTGTATAACACACTGTAAAGGGAGAGTCTGAGATAATTCAATTTGTTAATTGTGACACAAGGTTACAACTAGTAATCTCAATCCATTGAACAAAATCCCATGGAAAGCTAAATCTAATTATCACTTGCTTTAAGAATTGAACCTGGACTAAATCAAAAGCTTTTTCATCATCACAGAAACAGACTTTGAGGAGAATATTTGGGGCATATGGATGATACAACTTAAATAGATCTTCAATGTACATAGAAGATAAACCTAAGGTGCTTCCAGGAAACCAACTTGCTAAAATACAGACAAAACTGAGTAAGAATTGCTATCTGGCTAACTAGAGACAAATGCAATTTATTTTTTACAACCTAAAAAAAAAGCAGCAGTAACAGACCAAATAAAGTCAGAATGGATTCAAACTTCAACTATGGAAAATCTTATAATTTGGGTCAGCTTAATATGCATGTGAAGACAATGACCAAAGACAAACATACTGTACGTCCTTTCCAATCTTCACAACAGTTTATACATTTCATTTTTAAAAGATGTATACATCTCCCTCCCTATGATTTGTTGCATGGGAAGGAGAATAGATCATAAATGTACGGTACTATAAAGGAGGTAATTGGAATTTTCATTTTACTATTTAACTTTCCTGTTCTTCTCTGCATTAAAACTCTTGTGCCTTTTGAGGGGCTGGGGCAGGTAGTTCCCAAATTGTAGTGGCAAATCAAAGAGCTACAGCCTAATTTCATCCTTTTCTTAAGCAGAACAAAAATGTGAAAATTTTATTCTAGGCTTGAGGCATGGTTGTCCCTATATATTAATAAACCAACAACCTCCCTGCCTCAGGTGATATATTACAAACTGGCTGCTGTTATGGAGTGTGCAGCTGAATTGGCAGGGAAGGGATAAAGTCAGCAGTAGCAGCCAACTTCCCTGGAAAGAGGCACACATTCCAGAGAACCAAGTTAAGAGGTTGTGCAGTCCTGAACTGGATGGGGGAAGGAGGAAAAGCTTCAGGATAGACACACCCTAGAATCTATCAACTTTGAAGATTACAGCTTAAGTCATGCAAGGCTACATTAGATGTAAGCATATAAAAAACTGGATTCAATTGGATCTCATCTTCGGGGACCAGTAGTTTGAAAAGACACCTGACAAATGTCTTTTCAAACCACCACAATTCTAAATGGTGGCAACCACAAGGGTCTAATGGAGCAGTGCAGTTGATTGATACAGATCATTCATGAAAACTTAAGGGTATAGCTCAGGGGTAGGCAACCTTGGCTCTTTTATGACTCGTGGACTTCAACTTCCAGAATTCCTGAGCCAGCCATGCTGAAGGGAAAGGGAGGGGTTTCCAAGCCGAGACATGCTGGCTTAGGAATTCTAGGAGTTGAAGTCCACGAGTCATAAAAGAGCCAAGGTTGCCAACCCCGGTATAGCTGGTCCTAGCACTGCCAACCATCACACTCTTGCCAAGGGCCAAAATCAACTGACTTGGCTCAAAAGGGTCAGTAACATTTTAAAGTATTTAGTTTGATCAATAGGTTAAGTAACTGCCATTTTTTTTGAAATACGCTTTGGGAAGTGTGGACCATTTATGCCCCAATGCAGGGACTGATTGCACCTAGTCCAGTGGTTCTCAACCTTTTTAATGTCGCGACCCCCAACCGGTCGTAAGTCGAGGACTACTCAACCGGTCGTAAGTCGAGGACTACTCAACTGGTGCAGCACTGTTTGCAGAATGGGACTTTTGGTGGGCTCAGCAGGGCAGAGACAGCCTGGACAATTCCTATTGGCTTTTGAAAGCCAATAGAATTAGACCCTATTCAAGAGAGTCTATTCTGTTGGCTTTCAAAAGCCAATAGAATAAAAGGGAGTAGCACAGCTAAGGAAAAGGGGGAAAAAATGGTGGATTGCGTTGTTTGGCGACCCCCATGAAATGGTCACTCGACCCCAAATGGGGTCCCGACCCACAGGTTGAGAACCACTGACCTAGTCAATACTGATCGATACATTGCAGTGTCTTCCAACCTTGACCATTTCTAGACCTTCAGTTCTTCAGCAGTTAAGAGTTCTATTACATACTTTTACTTCTTCCCATAGTTTCAGCAACCAATACTTTCCACACAATTATAGCAGCAAAGTCTTCCTTATTAGGGAGAATATGAGTAGGTGGCAGAGAGAAAATGCTCTGAATATCTCTAATTTTGATGCCCCCCCCCCCAGTTTTGGCAGTGTTCTAATACTTAACAGAATTCCCCAGACTATGGCATTACAGAACTAGAATTCAGCCTTTGCACAATTCTCTTGTAGTTCAAAGAAGTGAAAAAATGCACTTATAGGCATAATGCAAAACACCTGATTGCATAACTTTTGCATTAATTCATGCAGCTGGCTAGAAGAAAATGATATTCCGAACAAAATCATTAAGCATCCCAGCCCACAAACATTACTATACCTTTGGTTCTCTCTACTCCCTTAAACTTAAAAGCTATTCCCCTTAAATCTGAAAACCTTAGTTGATCAATTTAAAGACTGAAACTGAAAATTGGGATCCGAAGATACCTTATATCATTCTGTACTCTTTTTTAAAAAATATGCATACCTCTATTTTTTTAAAAGAAGCCTTTCAGAGAAACTGGGATACAACTTTTATAATCCCTAGCCAGCATGGTTAGGCATTCTAGAAATTGGGTAAACACTATGCAAACTCTAAAGACGGGGAAAGCGTAAAACATTCGTTCCATGTCTTTTTAACTATATATTTGTGTCTTTTTCAGGTTACTAGAAAAACCCTGCCTTAAGTATCATGGTTACTTGTTCTGCCTTGCTTCAAAAAGAAAGCTTCATTTTCTTCGGGGCTTGGGGCGGGGAAAAAGCTAGAAGAACCCTAGCAATGGGAAGGTAAAGGAGGGATTTATTTTTTTTAAAAAAAGGAAGCAGACAGGCCTTTCTCCATCTTCTCTCGGAACACAAAGAGAACCCTACTTCTCGCCTGTAGACTGCAATTTCATTCGAAAAAATCCCGCCTACCTGGCAGCTTTGGGGAAAATAGACTATGCGTCGCAGAGCCTTTGATCCAGCATTAGCGTTTCTCCCCCCCCCCCTTCTCCCAGTATCACGCCTTTTTTTTTTTAAAAAAAAAAAAGGACCCTCCGGAATCCTCGTCCCCAAGGCTGAAGATGAGGGCGAAGCGCTTCAGGCCCACCCGCCCCGAGTCCAAGCGTTACGGGCTGAAGCATCAAAATCGCCCCCTGTGGCTTTCATAACCCTCAATATAGCATCAAACCACCCGATTGCTCTAACCTACCGCAGCCTTCGCGAACAGCACGAGGAAAAAGTGACCGCTTCCAGCAAAGGAGGTGTGGCACCAGCAGAAAAAATCGCGGCTATTGCGGAGGGTTTTATACTCTACGAGCCGGAAAGGGGGCGGGTCAGGCTGCGTAAAGGCGGGGCACGATAAGAGCTGCGCCTCTCGCGGGTGGTGTGCACACGCGGTCCTCTCTGTCGATCGCATTCGAAAGGAGGATTTTTGGAGCGAGAACAAAGATGGTCGGCGCGTGATTCTACACGCTTTGCTGGAAACTCCCAGCATTGGTTCGGATTTTTTTCTGTCCTCCGTTCGGGCCTTTGCTGATAGATTTAGGTTACTTGTGCCTCCTGTCAACGATTGAAGCGCAATCCAAATTGTTAAGAGCTCGGTCTTCGTTAGGCTAACAAAAGCAGTTCGCGAACCCGAAAGAGCAATCTTTCTTCCCTCCCCCCCCCCGCCGAGTTTGTGTTTATAGTTGCTATGTACTTTTCCCGCTCGCTGTCCCTATATGAAAACCAAGTTTGCCTACCAATTTTGTCACTGTGGCTGCCAGGCCGCCATCCAACCGGGAAAATTCTAACTGATCGCCATGAGAAAGCTATACTTGGAATCATTTGTTCTTGAAAAAGACATTGGGCAAGGGTTTTTGTTTGTTTTTTGGTTGCAGAATAAAAGAATAGTCTTACGTGGATGTCGTAATGCTTTAAGAAATCCACTGAACGAATAAAGGCAGTTCATTATGTCCCGTAGTTGCTCCATGTAAAGATATTTCTTTCTGGTACGGCTGTACACTCAAGAACTTTTAGGGGGCGAGGAGAGCATTTCTTAAAGTTACAATGCATACCGTGTCCCGATTCCAGGTTTGATCGCACTTGAATTTCTAGCTAATGTGTCCTCACAAAACGGGCTCAAAATTCCGGAAGGCAAACACTCCACCAAACGGAACAGATACTTGGGATGGACCAAATTAAACAAAAGAAAGTCTGTTTCATACTTCCATTGAGATAGGCATAAGCTCTGGAGGTAGAGCTGCATTAAAGTACTCCGAAGCTTTACTCGGAGCATACCACCTGGAATCTTTAATGAACGTCTTGCCGTTCCTTATTCTCATTTGGAGGTTCCCACAGCGTTTCGACCAACAATGGAACTGAGTAGCGAATCATCTCGTATCACAAACTACACTTCCCAGAAGACCTTGCACTCTTGGCACTTCCCTTTCTTATGTCCTCGGCCGAGTGCTGTCAGCGCGCGCGCGAAAATGGATCTCGGCGAATTCGAACGGGACAATTCGGTGAATTGTTTGTTGGCCTCGGTGGTGCCTCCTATTTGTCGGATTGAGCCCTGTAGTTTGGGCATCGATGAGGCAGGCAGGGGACCAGTATTAGGTATGGATTCAAATATATGAGGGAAAACTAGAATCTTTGGAGTACCGGCCGCGAAGCATCGTCCAGGGTGAATCTTGTAGCTCATTGGATTGTATAGATTTCCAGGTAGTTAAATTTCATCACTGCCTGTTGGTGTGAAGCAAACTTACATATTGCAGTGTCTTCCTGTAGACATAGTACATAATCATTTTGTTCCTATTTCTCATCTTATGCCAATATGCTTCAGATCCTTAAATCCACTTTAAAATGTTACTTTCACGACGTTCAGATTCTTCATTTCCGATGCAGTGTAATTAAAGTTTATTATAAGAATGTTATGGAGGGTTGCCTATTATAAGAATAGTTTTGTAGCTTTTAAGTACTGTCAAAGCAGTTTTTCAAGTCATTTCATTTGTATTGCCTAGTTATCTTACAAGAACATTAGTTAATATACTTATTGTAAGCAGTTCATAGTAGTTGAGACTGAATAGCTTTTTTGGTTTTTTTTCCAGGTCCCATGGTCTATGGAATCTGTTTCTGTCCTGTGTCTCAGCAGGGAGACCTAGAAACATTGAAAGTAGCAGGTAAAAGGAGTGGCAAGTTGTGATTATATTTCAGTAATATTGCAGCTGTGTCACAGGGCAAAGGCTCTGTACATAAAAACAAAAATACTCTTTTATTAGAGGAGCAAGGTAGAAGAATAATTTTTATTTCTCTCATGCCACATCACTTGGAATTTATCTTTTCCCGCTTGCTTACAGATTCTAAAACACTGACAGAAGCTCAACGGGAAGAACTCTTTGAGAAAATAGATGCAGCTAAGGGGTTTGTAGGATGGGCCCTACACATCCTCTCCCCCAATTTCATCTCAACTAGCATGCAGAGGCGGTGAGTGTGGCAGAGACAAGGCAGTCTCTCTATTGGGTAGATTAAATCTTAGGTTTTAAAAGGTGTCACACCTTTCTCTAAAATTGTTCCTTTGCCTGGCCTACCTCTCAATGGAATTGGAACACATGGGTCCTTATGGATCTAATTCTAAAGTGGTGTCATTATATATAACATACACCTGAAGAGTTGGTTGAATTATTATTAACCATCCAAAATGGTGTGTAAGCTCTAGAAGAGTGCAGTATAATGTTTATGTAAATTTTTTAAAAAACAGACACATTATAGATCCATATTTTTAATGTCACTCAAAGTTACAAAAAAGTTTGTTTCATGGATTGTAGCACACAATGGGCCATCCAATTTCTAATTATTTTCATTTGCCCAGAATGAGGATCATTAATTTGTATTTGTTGTATGAAATTGCAACTGCTGCTGACAGTGGGTGAATGGAGCAGTGGCTTTTTGCTCTCTGTTTATATTTCTTTGTATATGTATATTGAACAAAGGCAGTATATATGGAGTCACATCTGATTTTTTTCTTCACAACAATTATCCATTTAAGTAGACTGTACTGAGTAAAAATGAAAGTCCTCATCACCCTGGCAGATGTATCAGCAAGTAGGGATAATATCCTAGGTCCCTCTTATCTTAGTTGGAATCTTTAATGACAAATCACATTATCTAGCTAATCTCAGTTTCTATCCACCTCTTTTCTGGTGGTTAATTTCATAGTCAATTGCCCTCAGAAGTCAATGTGATTTCCTTTTTCTTGCAGGACAAAGTACAACTTGAACGCACTGTCCCACGATACAGCCATTGGCCTAATCCAGCATGCACTAGATTCTGGAGTGCAAGTTGCAGAGGTGAACTAGCTTAGTGCCCTGGACTGCCAGGAATAGCAAGAAATTCTCCTTTCTTCCCCTTAAATCCTTCATGGGTACTTTTGTTTTCAGGTTTTTGTAGATACAGTGGGACCAGCAGAGAAATACCAAGAAAAGCTAAGGCAGCAGTTTCCTGAGCTGGAGGTTACAGTGAAGGCCAAGGCAGACTCTCTTTTCCCTACTGTAAGCGCAGCCAGCATCTGTGCCAAGGTGAATGCGAAATTCCTTTGTCTCCAATTCCATGTATGCTGTGTTATCTGGCAAGATGCATTACTTGGCCCAGCAGCTTAGTCGAACTTCCATCTATAAATCTAGAAGGCCACTGATTATAAGACGTAGTGCAGGGGTGTCAAACTCAATTTCATTGAGGGCTGCATCAGCATTGCGGTTGCCCTCGGGATGGGGGGGGTGGCCAGGGTGGGTGCAGCCTACAGGGTCGGTGTGGATGGAGTGGGTGTGGCCTACTGGGTGGGCATGGCCAGCTCTACATCGTTCACATCAAGAGTGCCTGTGGGGGCCTGGGCAGGAGTGGGACAGATCTGAGAGTCTCTGGCGAAGGGGGTGGGACCGGGACAAGCGCCAAGGCATGGTCCATTCCTTCATTCCTCACAAAGGGTGACACCTCCCCAGCATGTACCCAGGGGGCAGGGCCAACACGGCAGGAGCTGGTTCCTCGCTGTTTCTAGACAGCCTTGTGGAGCTAAGACTAAATGCATTTCAGCATAGATGGCCACTACAAAATTGTACATTGGCTCCCGGCTGGCCTGGGCCAGGGGCCAAGGTAGCAGGGGCCATTCCCTCATTGTTTCCAGGATGGCTTTGCGGGCCACATGAAACCACTTTGCGGGCCACATCCGGCCCTCAGGCCTTGTGTTTGACATGTCTGACATAGTGCATAAGGGGATGGGGTTTCCAATAACCATCAGGCTTTTCTTAGTTTAGGCAATAATTTGTCCGTTATTGAAGAAAGGATGCTAAATTATATGGACTTTTCGTATGGTCAGTAAGTCAGTCTCTGTGTTCTTACAATCTCTAGGTAGCAAGGGATCGGATTGTAAAGAATTGGAAATTCTTGGAAAATCTGGAAGAAACAGAATCGGATTATGGCTCTGGCTATCCCAATGGTAAATTCTAGTTTATTCTTTCAGTTCCATCTCTGTACATTTGGAGCTGTGTAAAGTGATAGTGATGATTAGATCAGGTGGGTTTAAAATAAGATTAGATAAGCAGAAAACGTTTGCTTTGTGAAGAGTTTCTAATTCAGGGTGACAGCTGGATGGGCATGCTATTTTTCAGGATATTTCATTCTGTAATACCTTTCTAGTCCTCTAAGGCTTTGCACTTGAAAATGGAGGTGGTGTGAACGCCAGTTGTAGGAGCCACCATATATTGTTTTCATGCCTTGGTCTAATAGGCTTTATCTTCCTATGCAGTAATATTGAAAAGCAAAGACATTATTTTCATTATTCCTACGAGTCCTCTTTTCTCCCAGTCTTATGTTTGAATCGTTATCATTATAATTAAGTGATTTTTTTCCCAATGAGATGTCATCATTTATCACTCCATTAGGGTAGATGGTTAAGGTGCCCAAACTTCACTGTTGTTCAACTGATGCTATAGGTTGCATCTGATGCCATGAAGCTGAGTAAATTTCCAACTGCTACAACTGAAGTGAGGTTGTAATGTGAAAGTGAAGCTATAATATGTTGCAATTATAGAGGAGAGGAGGAAACACCCTAATGTTTGTAATACACTTTGCCTAATCTCTGCTCCTATATCTGAGCTAATGGACCGAAATATATTGTTTGATAAAAGGGCAGCATTAATATGCAGAGTCTCTCGGCCATCTTTCCTCTCCCCAGATCCCAAGACTAAAGAATGGCTCGCTCAAAACCTGGAACCAATCTTTGGCTTCCCACAGTTTGTACGATTTAGCTGGAGCACAGCTCAGCTCATTCTGGAGAGCAAAGCTGTGCCTGTTCATTGGTAAGTGGATGGAAGAGCTATGAGATG